CTAGTTGGACCAAAGGGTCTGTTTCCATGTTGTATGACTCTATGACTCTATTACAACCATTTGCTCTTCTTATTTTATGTATTCATGACTTGGTTTTGGATATAGGACATACAGTTTCGAAGTTTAACGAGCCACCATAGGAACAATGAGATGAACAGTTGCCTCTTTGGTCCCTGTTCATTGGTTGAAATGATAGCACTGCAATCATTTTCTAACCAGTAGTTACATGTCACTGAACCATAAATATCAGATCGACATTCAGTTTAGTGGCCCTATCACCAAAGTGTGAAGGGGAAAGTAAATCTAAAGAAATGCATTTTCTTCAGTGTCACTAAAGAAAAGGAGAAATAAGCCATACTCAGTGATGCCAATGTAGAGCATTGAGTGTGCTTGAATCAATCAATAAGTAAGTGATTTGGGGTCAGAGGTAGCAGAAACAGGTGAGATGTAAGCTATCAATGGAAAAATAAACTGATGCAGGTTTTACACATTTTTGAAGAGACAGGTCATTCTGACACGTTTTAATAGTCTTCCGTAGATCAAAATCTTGGAATGCCTTACCTGACAGCATATTAGGAGCAAGATTATCATACAAACCACTGCAGATGAAAAAGGCAGTTTACTAACACTCTCCCAAAGAGAGAGCTATGAGAAAATGTATTACCCCACCCCAGAAAGTTTGAAGTCAGGTCATTTTAATTGGATGACAGGGTGCAGCGCAAGTACCCTGCTGCCTTCCCATCTCCACCCAATTAGGTCAGGAGGGTAGAAGCCACAAGGACAGCCTTCCACAACAAATACTAATTGAGGCCAACAATTAATGTCCACCTAAAGGCCTCATCCTGTCACTGCCAGTACATAACCTGCAGTGGGCGGTGGTGTCCCAAATGGACAACCACACACTGTTTGAAGGGCACTCAGTGCCTGACTGAGGAACCCAGCCCTCCTCTGTCCTTTCTTCAGGTCTCTTCTTTCAGCTAGCCTACATGCCCTCCTTACAACCTCATCCTGTCCTCATTCAGCCTTTACGTTGTGTCCCTTATTGATCCAAGGTCAGTGATAGGTACACTGTTGGCAGCAGCCATTCCTCCTGGTGTCGCTAGTGGATCAAGAAAGTCACTTGACTCTGACTGTCCAACACCTCTCAGCAGGCAAGATTTCCACCTCTGGGTTCCTAATTCCTGGAGTAGTGTTAGTCAGTAAAGTTCAGATAAGTATTTCATTCCTGCAGAGCCACCCCAACTGAGTGACTCAACGCTCCTGCCAGTTCTCCAGTAGGGCAGCAAAACCCTTATCACCAACATTATACTGTGGCAACAAGGGTGGCATTTCTAGCAGTTCCCACATTCAAAGAATGATTTTCTTTAAAAAGTAATGTGTCTGCCATGGAAAAACCTGAAGCTTTATCCAAAAGAGACACAGAGTTGGAAGGTGTAGAATCTGTATGAGGAATGACAGTGGAGAAAAAGACCCTGATGGGAGTTATGTACAGGCCTTCCAGCAGTAGTCGGAATGTTGGGGGGTGGGTAGAAAATAAACCAGGAGATAGAAAAGGTGTGTCAGAAAGATACCCTTACAATAATAATGGGGAACTTCAATTTGAAAGTGAGCTGGGAAAATCAGGCTGGTAGTGGATCTCAAAAAAAGGAATATGTGGAATGTCTACGACATGATCTTTTGAAACAGCTTGCGGTAGAGCCCACTCAAGGACAGGTGATTCTGGATTTGGTGATGTGTCATGAGGCTGACTTGATTAGGGAGTTTAAAGTGAAGGAACGCCTAGGGGGCAGTGCCCATAGTGTGATAGAATTCACCTGCAATTTGAGAGGGAGAAGACTGAATCAGATGTAGCAGTATTTCAATTCAGAAAAGATAATGAGGGAGGAGCAGGCCAGATTTGATTGGAAGTGAAGCCGAGCAGGGAAGATGGTGGAGCAGCAATGGCAGGAATATCTGGGGATAATTTGGAAGGTACAGCAGAATTAACCTAAGGAATAAGAAGCATACTAAGGGGAGGGCAAGGCAACTGTGGCTGAAGACAGAAGTCAAGGACAGCATAAAAGCAAAATAAGAAGTGTACAATGCAATGAGGGTTAGTGGGAAGCCAGAGGATTGGGAAGACTTTATAAACAAGTAGGGATAATTTAAAAAGCAACGGGGGGAAGGGTGGGGGGAGAAGATGAAATAGGAGAGTGAGTTAGCTAGTAATATTAAAGAAGTTTGCAAGAGTTTTTTTTAAATATCTGAAAGATGAGGCAATAGTGGACATTGGACTGCTGAAAAATAAGGCTGGAGAAATAGTTATGGGGAACAAAGATATGGCAGATGAATTGAATAGGTACCTTACACGTGTCTTCATAGTATAAGACACCAGCTGCATACAAGAACTTCAAGAGAATCAGAGGGCAGAGGTGAGTGTAGTGGTCTTCATGAAGAAGGCGGTACTGGGGAAGCTGAAAGGTCTGAAGATGAATAAATCACCTGGACCAGATGGACTACACCCCAGAGTTATAATCATAGAGTCATACAGCATGGAAATAGATCCTTTAGTCCAACTAGTCTATGCTGACCATGTTCCGAAACTAAACTAGTCCCACTTGCCTGCATTTGGCCCATATCCCTCCAAACCTTTCCTATTCATGTACTTATCCGAATGTCTTTTAAATGTTGTAACTGTACCTGCATCCATCACTTTCTCTGGCAGTTCATTCTACACACAAACCACTCTGTGAGTAAAAATGTTGCCCTCATGTCCTTTTTAAAACTTTCTCCTCTCACCTTCAAAATATGTCCCCTAGTTTTTAATTCCCCCACCCTAGGGAAAACACCTTATCTATTCACCTTATCTATGCCCCTCATGATTTTGTAAACCTCTGTAAGGTCATCCCTCAATCTACTACACTCCAGTGAAAAAGTCCCAGCCTATTCAACCTATTTTTATAACTCACACCCTCCATTCCCAGCAACATCCTGGTAAATCTTTTCTGAACGGAATTTAATAATATCCTTCCTATAGCTCTGTAGGAGGTAGCTGCTGAGAATGTAGAGGTATTAGTGGTGATTTTTCAGGAATCACGAGAGGCAAGAAGGGTCCCAAAGGACTGGAAAATGGTGAATGTAACACCCTTGTCTAAGAAGGGAGGGAGGCAGAAGACAGGAAACTATAGAGATAGTAGGAACTGCCGATGCTGGAGAATCTGAGTTAACACTGTGTAGAGCTGGATGAACACAGCAGGCCAAGCAGCATCAGAGGAGCA